GCTATATCACTCAGTAATTTTGTGTTGAATTATTTAAATACAATATTTCTAACGTTTTCATTTCAGGAAAAAGGAGATGTCCGGGTGAAACTTACGCAAAGAAAGCGATGTTTATGTTTGTTACCAACATCTACCAACGCTATGGATTTGAAGCAGTGGACGGCGAAACGCTTCCCGACGTCGATGAGGGCGTGATTAATGTCGGACTTCATAATCCACCACCGTATAAATTAAAAATAGTTCCAAGAAACTGAATAGTTGTAGATATTTTTTCTGATTGTTATTTATTATGATGAGCAAGTTACTTCTTGATAAACGCATACCGTATAATTTAATAATTCAAGGGTTTCGTCCCAACGTCACGCGGTGATATGGAGAGTGCATGCGCACTCACGTGCATTGATGTTTTGTATCATCGGTGACATATTTAACCTATATTTCACGGATTATATAATAGGCCCTACTAAAGCTGTAACAAGTCAAATACACATGTATAATGGTACAGTGTACAGTAAAAACTACTACAATATGCTTAATAAGCGCCACTCTGGACGATATAGCGCCGTATTAAACCCTAAAACATTCTGTACTTTGGGTGAAAATATTACATTGAATTATTTACGCCTATTATTACTTTTATTTATTGAATATATAGGTTTTATTGAGCTAAACAAATATAAGAATTGTCTTGCCAGATATTCCTTGGCTTATTTATAATATGTTCCCCCATGCCTTTAAAAATATGTGTATTTGTATTTAAATGGTGAGGGAGGGGATGTGTACGTATGTGTGTATGTATGTATGTATGTGTATAGTCTATTACTTTAGTACAATTCGGTAGCAGGCTTCCCACTGTTAAATGTGAAATATAGTATAGTAATGAAATACAGTAAATACAATCAAAATAAAAGCGCAAACAAACGCTAAGCTAAATAACAACCTAAAAACACTGAATTATAATTCACGAATGAACGTTGTGGTTAGATTGTTAGGAGATTACGTTAACATAACGTTGTAGCAGCATTTTTACTTGGATATTACGTTAAGTACGTATTGTATTTGTGGTACAGTACTTCATTGTAAACGCTTGCTAATTCCTCCATGCTTACAGGGAGTGGCTGGTGCCACTTGGACATCATCATGTCTCTGTGCGATAGATTATAAATAAATACGCGCAAACGCTATGGATAATTTATACAATGGATAATTAAGATAGGTCTAATTTCATGTCTATTCCATTGTCGTACGCAATATGAAAAGTAAGCTATTTAACATATGCTATTGAAATAAAAGAATCACTGCAAACTTATTGTTTTCCATATTCAACTCATTAGGGAGTTTCGCAAGCTTATGAAAACTACGAATACAGTTACGTCATCAAATTTTTAGACAAACCTTTCCACACAGTAGCATATGTCACAAAATAGGCGATTCATGCCTTTTGCATGAATCAAGTATCATATACGAATGACGATAATGATAATGACGTATTTGTTATCGTTTTCGTAAGGTTACGAAATCTCTCTATTAACGTCGACTTACGTGCACTAAGCCAGGCACTCACTGCCGACGCGGATCTATAGCGCGCAACGGGTCGTTTTTAATGACGATCAGTTCAGACTGCCACCGACAATCAGCAGACGGCGTCTCGTCGTCTATCACTCACAGAGAGCGGAGTTGGATTCTTCGTACGACGGTGGTACGACGCCGCGAGTGCCCGGCTTTATAGGAGACCTTTCTGTGAGAGAGTCAATCAAACTTAACAACTGGCCAATCAAACCATCGCTAAGAACACGCGCTTGTACCATAAACACACGTGTGTCTCACAAACGCACGTGTGTGTACGTTTACGCTATCTTTTTGTGGGACTTCAGCAAACAATATCCATGTAGCGGGGCTTAGCGGAAACGTCCATTATGTTGAGCTGCTGTTTAGCCATACTGCAGTTTTGCTTGAAAATACAGTATTGCTTTTAATGGATATCGATGAGGCTCTTACTATCGGATATGTTCACGTTAATGTTGTGGTTGGCCTGATTACAATGGATGGATGGATTCGGTATAAACCCTAAGGATGACCCACGAAAGTCTGAATTTCCAGTGGGGTCCTTCTGGTTGTTATTGGGCTCAGTACACCGCGAAGACCCTCCTCTACTCTTTTCCGAAGAGTGTACTGCGTTCTTTAACGTGCACACATGGGTCATAATGCACACGGGACCAACGGCCTAAACGTCTCATCCGAAAGACAATGCGCTATCGTAACTTGTATTCAGCCCTCCAGCAGCAGTACAAAGAAGAGTAGCGATGGGAATTGAGCTGGGACCAAGTGATCTCCACGGTTCAGCGCACGCATAGTGGCTACCACCAGTTTAGCCGACTGACTTAGCTAAGCTGCTCTCACAATATCCGACATTATGCCTATTGGGACGACCGGAACTCGTCTTCGACCCATTGGATGTGATGCAATCTGGAAGGAAGCGGGAAGGATAGGCATTGTTATCAGTTATGTGGGTAATGAGTAACAGCAGAATGACCAGTAACTCACAGCGAACAAAATTGTACACGTGAAAGTACGCACTCTTCAGTTTATAAAACCATCAGGGAGCACGGTGGTTCTCCAGAAGTCCAGAACACATCCTTTTTTAAAGAAATTTTAGCATAGGCGTACGCAGTTACATAATATCCCATTTTTGAAATTACAGATCTCGTGAGCGATATTTAAAAACCATCCATAGGGGAATTAGTTTAGATGGCCCATCTAAGATTAGCGACAGGCCATTGTAACGCATAGGATTAGGACGATTCTAGACGAGTTCCATCCCGATCATATGCATTACAATGGCCTGTCGATTAACTTGTTGGAGCGATGATGCACTTGGCACGTCATCACAAATTTAGGTTGGAGCGCCTACTGAACGAACACGCACGAGACTCTCATTTGGAAAAATGACATCACACCATGACTATTTATAGGCACATCATGACTATAAATAGGCACATCATGACCATATATAGGCACATCATGACCATATATAGGCACATCATGACCATGGCACATCATGACCATATATAGCGCATCATGACCATATATAGGCACACAATGACATATATAGGCACATCATGACCACATTTAGGCACATCATGACCATATATAGGCACATCATGACTAATATGCATAAAACTGTCAAACAAAATGTAATAGTCTGGAGACCTTTAGAGATGACTCGACTGCGAAGTACCGTAGTAAGTCTATGATAAATATCTGTAATCTGAAGGTCCTGCCCGTATTTTCAACCTACAAATGAATTAAAATATTAAGTTTAGCTGCAAACAATCATGTCCGTATTTCATACAATGGGTTTACTTAACTTCGCAAGACAATGCCTAGGCCTAATTAGGAGCTATTAAATAGATCCGTTAGTAAATACCTGACCTTACCTGGGACAGTATCCATCCATTGAAACGATGTGAAATTGACATCTTCCTGGCGGTTAGTCGCCTGGGTCGGGGTCGTCTGCACGGGTTAGCTTTCATCGAAGTTGGTTGCAGACGATATTTGGATTCATTGAATTCCAGTTGTGGTCGCAAAACGGTTCCCACTCACCAATTATTGTGAATAATCACGTACTGTACATACAGTTGACTTACTCGAGTCGTCCATCATCCTGATGTAGGCCCTTCCCAGCATGATCAGTGATGGGGTAAAATTGTTAGCGGAAGACAACAGAAATATGGCAAACTATAAACTACTTAAAAACTGTTGTAAAAACACAAACGACTATTAAATTACACCATCGAAGTGAAAATGATCATAACCCCCACCCCCACGTCGGTGACCTCTGTCCCCCACTGACGGGGAAAATCAAATATGGAGCGCCGAAAGTATAATTCAAGCATGCCTCAGCATAGTAAGCTGTGAATTTTTTTCAGTGATGACACCCAGCCCTTCCCCGACAGGGGGCTGGTACCTCTGAGGTTGATTCTTAACTAAGATGGTTTTCTATCAAATGATCCTTTTTAAATAAAGAATCCCATAATTAACACAATATTTTATTATTTTTTAAATAAAATAAAATCACTGAAAATTTAATTTTCACCAACCTGGGGGGGGGGGGGGAAATAGGCTAGCCCGATTGGGAATGGACCCCTTTGTCGTGTGGACCCCCTTGTCGGACTCCTCGTTGGGGAACTCCTGGCGCCGCCCCTGAGCATAGGTGGATAAATAGACATTAAACTGATTTTTGAATGAATTATCGCCGTTTTTTAAATTTAATGGAGCGATTAGTGTACGAGTTTTGTTCCTCATTGACAAATCCACACAATAACTGCTCTTTGTGCACTATAGTGTACCAGTGTTTGGGGGAAAAAATCAGTAATTGCATATTATCAACTAGATCTTATACGGTAGAGACCTACTATATTAAACTTCTGCTACTACTATCACTATTACTTTTACATACGAATCAGTTTAAAAAACGACATTTGTTGGTTTAGGAAGCATACATGATAGGTAACCTTTCGCAAAGTTCAGACGCAGAGAGTTTGTGGTAGATTTCATATCAAACATATTGAAACAAATGACAGAAATATAATTGTGTTTTAATACAAGGCCATCGGAAAAATATATATGCTTACTATACGGTAATGCATCAATAACACGACAAGGGATAGTCTATTACTTCCAGGTTGTATACCACTTCCGCGAGCATCCTGTTTTATTGAATACTTGGACACGTGTTAAAAATATAAAAAAAACGCAGCTAAATAGCGCATACGATAAAATAGGCCATGGTCTGTATGCATTAAACAGAAATAGTTTAGCACTGGCATAGTAAGATTAAATAAAACCTAAATTAATGGTGTCCTGCAGGGGGTAATTAAACCTATAGTCAAAGAGAGGTGTAAGATTTACAAAACACTATCATTCTTCAGCTCCGAGACCGACACTCAAATAGACCTACTTGGATGGTGTCCGGCATTTGAATACGTTTTCACCATAGTTTATCTAAGTTTCTGTATAGTTAACATTTACGGTACGTTTGTAAATCTCTTCCCCAAAAACCTAGATTCGGAAATTATCCGGGATCGACAGACAGGAGATAGTTTTGTTACCATAGTAGTTAAGGTACTGTAGTCAAGCCAAACCTTTATAACTCATGGCCCCGAATCAGTCTCTGAAATACCGATTGGTATCCGGTGGGATATGTTTGTGTCTGTGCCCCCTCGGGGGCAACGACACTACTGCTAGTATATTGTCTTCGCAATTACATTATATATAC